AGTGTTGGGGGAAAACCAGCTTTCCCCTGAGTCACCTCCACCCGCCTTTCTCAGGACACAGACACTGAGCCCGAAGACTGCTGGCCTGTGTGACTGGAGGGTGTCAGCCTCTGGCTGTGGGCCCGCTGGTGACCTGGTGCACACTGTGTGTTGGGAGCGTAGGTCTGACTGTGCTACTGAGTGAGCCTGTGGCCCCTGGCCACAGTGTCCTTGGCCATGCCTTGTGCTGGGCATGTGTGGGTCTCTCTGCCTGCCACGCAGGGTGTCTGTCTCCTGATGGAGGATGAGGGACTATTCCAGTTCCCCCGGGTGAAGTTGCAGGGTTTTTCCTCAGCTACCATGTGGGGACACAATGAAGGCATTCCAGGAAACCAGAAGGGCTGGGCCGGCCTCTGGGTCTCAGAGCTGACAGCCGGCCGCCAGGGGACTCCTTACTGCTGTGTCATTTTCTCTGAGCTGTGGGGTACTTTTGGAGCAAACTCTTTTGAGTCCCACAGGTTTTACGACTTCGCCTTCTCACAAGGGAAAAGCCTACTTCTTTTTCTCGGCAGAGTTTAACTTGTTATTCTACTAAATCCCAAGTTTTCAATTCTACAGAGGATGAAGGGACAGAATGGGTTTGGGGAACTTTATCTTGTCCCCAAAAGTCACAATATAGGACAAGAGAAATTAACAGAACACCTTGCCCTCTTTTTAACTCAAATTTGTTTTGTCTGTTTTGTTCAGCTATATGGAAGGATGGGGCATGATAGCATATCTTTGAGGGCACTTCAAGAGAAAAATAACCTAAATGTCAAGAAGCAGACCACAAAGATGCACACACACACCCCGGAAGTTTTCTTGGTATGCTCCTCCTCCCTCTCCTTAAAAATAAAAAGTCTCCCACACACAGAATCCACAAAAAGGAAAAACCAAAGCCAAGAACCCTTGAATCTGCCTGAGCACCTGCCTCAAGCATCTTCCACACCCTCTCCCCAGACTCCATAACAATGATTTCTTATCTCACAGGTCTCTAAAGAGATGACTCGCTGGGTGCCACCTGTAATCCCAGAAACTCCAGAGGCTGTGGCCTGAGGATGACAAGTTTGAGGTCAGCCTCAGCAATTTAGTGAGATGGTTCTTTGTTCCTGTCTCCCAAGCTTCCTGTCCTACTTCAAAGATATTTAGCTCCAGACAGCTTCTGCCTACTGATCACATGACTGCCACATTCCACATCTACTGAGATCAAACTGTGGAAAGAATGGGCACCCTCCACTTGTTTGTATAGGTGGCCAAGACTTATGTGCTCTTGAATGGGCACCTTCTGTCATCATACCCCATTAGAAATTGTGTGTGTTGGTGGGGGGGGGTGGGTAATGGTGAGGACAAGAGACCTTTTCAAGTGAAGAGCATTTCTGGGTGGGGGGCGGTGGCTGCTTCCTATGTGTCAACTTCTTTAAGACAGCACCACTCAAACCGTGCCCCAATGAAAAAATGATCATAGGCTAAATTACCAAATTAACTTTCCTGGAGATTAGATTCCGGGCAACCTCAAGCAATTTATGTTGAAAAATAGTTTGTTTTAGTTTAAGCCAATTAAACCAAAAGCACAGATTTTAATTCTGAGGGACAGAAAGTAGATTTGGGGTTGCCAGGATTTAGAATTAAGCGGAGAGTGACTGGTAATTGGGGAGATAAAAATGTTTGATGAGCCAGGGGAGGTGGCACACAACTGTAATCCTAGCAGCTCGGGAGGCTGAGACAGGAGGATCCTGAGTTCAAAGCCAGCCTCAGCAAAAAGCGAGGTGCTAAGCAACTCAATGAGACCCTGTCTCTAAATAAAATACAAAAATAGGTCTGGGAATGTGGCTTAGTGGCCAAGTGCCTCTGAATTCAATCCCTGGTACCCCTCACCCCCCAAAATAAAAAAAAAATGTTTGATGGTAGGTTGTGGTGTTGACTGTACAACTCTGTAAATTATTAAAAAAATCATTGAATTGGCTGGGCATGGTGGTGCATGCCTGTAATCCCAGCTACTCA